TGGCCATAGGCTCTGAGTATGTTGCCACTCGCCTCTCCATAATTATAACGATACTACGGGTGTAGCTGATGATAGTGAACCTTCGATCGCCCTCGGAGTGTTTGTAGGTTGCCTTGCGGTAGTGTAACAGAGTTGTAGCAATGCTTTTCAAGGCTCTTAATAATTTTTCCATTGTACAACACCTGCTAGGACAGCATTGAAATACGGGAAAAATAGTTTTACTGAAACTCGGAACTTCTCCGCTAAGCTGCGGTCACGAACACTTTCTAATGAAACCTTAACAGTTCGTAATTAAGAATGGTGGTATAATTCAGCGAGAAAATATTTGAGCGTGTAATTTGTTTTTACAGTTATCTCCAGAAAGGAAATCTATCAGTATACCAAACGATTATGCACATAAACAAGTAAAATGAGCTCTTTTAATATATAAAGAGAGAGCCTTAGAATAGCACGCAATATTGGAAGTTGTGAATGTGTACTCTAACGCGAAGCTATTTCAGTCGAACGCCGATTAAAATGTGGAAGTCCAGTATTGTCCAGTGCACTTGCCTGTTCGCATCTGTGGTGTGAAGACAACGCTTATATAAAGACAGGTTCTTATAATAGCTCAGTCTGACTTAAATTCTAGGTGTGACAAACCACAAACGGAACGTAAACCGTAAATGGTCAACCTGCCTAACTGCTTCCTTACTTATTAAGTATTTCTGCTCTGGTGTTTGGATATAATTGTCTTCTGTAGCTATATGAAAAGGCGAATACTGTCAGAGATTGCTGCATTATTTTTAATCTTTGAACTCCACAAAACTCTTAGTGGTCTATTTGTTACAGCGTTAAGTTGCTTACAGTGTCGATATATGTATATTTTATTTCCAGAACAGAGCAATGCATGTTACTTATTCTAAATTAGAATGTTTTCGGTCGGCAAAATATCTTAATCAATTTACTCAAGGACCCGACATCCCTGCGTTGCTTTGTTGACCGCTGTCAGGATTTCCACTCCATAAATTATCAGCATACTTGCATCTTTTGTGATGCCTACCGCTACCAAGTCCCAATCTGACTTTCGGTTGCGAAAACATGTTTTTCCTGTCTTAATTTTCCGACTGTCCGCCAGAAGATAAAAGAATTCTGCGGAGTTTTGTGACTTTCGTTCTTTCAGCCCTTAGGAAAACTTATAGCCAATTGCTCCCATGCGTCCTGTTCAAATCGGCTGGCCATTGAAGTTGACATTTCTGAGTGGACTTCTTTGCTGAACGTCAACGTTATCTGAAAGAGATTGTCCATAATTTAGTTTTATGTCTTGATAGAAGACAAGTTGCCCCGAAGCTTTCGGACACTTTAGCACGAATTAGGTATATTCAAAATAAACTAAATATTCTGTGTATGCAGGTCTTTTTACTCATTTTTATCTAATATGACCTGCTATAGTCAAGATTTTAATTATACATTTGCAGCTCTCAAATAATACTCTATGAAACTATTATATAATTTTTAAGGCTCACTGCTGCTTGAGGGCTGATGTAATTGTATTTAATCCTTTAAAATCACACAGTTCTAACAAATATGAACAGTGGCCTTTATATATATATCAGTCACATTTCAGTTAAAAGCAGAATAATCTTTGGATGAATTGAGGTGATTGCTAGATGTGATGAGGAAAATGTCAAATTAACAGGGGGCAGTGCAAAAGATCGTTTGGAGATTTATTAAACGGGGGACAGTGTAACATGAAGTTTGATCAGCTACCAAATGACATTATCGGAGGTGCATCTAAACGTAAGCCATATATTTGCTGCTTGAAAATTCGACGAAGATGTAGTGTATAATAAGGCGAAAAGAACAGGTTTCTTTAGAACATTTGCAACAGTCACCGCTTCATTGACCTCCGCTACTTCCTCCGAAGTACTACCGGAATGCTGATGAGGTGAATACTGCATTACTGGTATTTCTTAATTTTTCGCATTACTACTAATAACAAACATAATATTTAACGCCGGTTTACAGTTAATGGCCTAATTATATACGTCCTTGGTAACTGTCATCGTAACCTCCGAAATTAGGAAAGGGCGAGACCTTGACGATATCAATTGGTGTCCTTTTACACATTCGGGAATATAGTTTGAGGCTCAGGTACTAGCTAAAAGGCCTCGATAAACGTTTTAATATATACTACTACAGTCTATATATTGGCAGCGCGTGCATATTATGCAGTGGTTGATGGATTTCGACCCCAACAAACACGTCAAATTTAATCTATGCTAAAAGACATTAACTATACAGGTGTATACCGCGAACAGAAATTAAAATGGTGAGTTCACCTACTCTCTACACGTCTCCATTATTGACCTTTTCAAATATTTCCTTTGACTGCCCTGAGGCATTTTTATTACACCATTCTTGTGGCGCATTCGCAAACCTCAGCCGTGTTGGGAAAAAATAGTTGCATTACATAATAAAACAAAGTTTAGGAAAACATTTTCACACATTGAGGAAAGATAATTTCTGTGTCGGTGCGGATAAGAATTCAAAATGCCCCCCCCCCACCCCATATCCTATTTGTCAAGTTATTCTGGCATGGAACCAAGAGGTTTTAGCTAGTCGCAATATAATGTGGATTCATTATCTCCGTGCAGCGTCCTAGTCAATGAAGTCAACAGCAGTGCGAACCACAAGTTGCCGAGGTCTAAAACAGGCAGAAAGGGGCCTGGACGGATTAATAATGTGCTGGCAGGCAACATCTCAGGCCATTTTTCCTGGTCCCATTTACTGGTAGGGCGTTTTTTCTGTCTTTTGGTCCTACGGCAGGAGTCTGTATCTCAGAATGGAAGAGAAACATCGTTAGTTATGCCCTGGTACAGCACGGCTCGTCGTATAGACGTTGGAAGTGCAGACACCGAAATGTCGCCAAAATGCACTGCGCAGAGCCAAGGCAGCGGTGAAGCAAAAAAAACCAAGTCTCCTGCAAATACGGAAAAAGCACACAAGTACATCTGGGCTAACGCATACCCTCGTGTTCCATCGACTCCGTTGTGCGGTCCTTATTCTCGTTCCCACACCCACACCTAACTAGCACTTGGTCCATCTATCTTCCGCCCACCTGTGGTACCTAGTCGACCGTGAAGGAATGGCGTAATGTACTCCGTAGTTTTAAGCTACCTGTGTTACCATGTCGGCCTGGTGATGAACCACCGAGTACGGCCTTTGCACAGAATGTCCACTAATGGGAACACACCTTGAGATTTTGAAAGGAAATTGTCTTACGCAGGTGCAAGACGACCTCGGATACTGGTTCAATTCAGGATAAAGTTAAATAGAAGCTCTTGAAATAAAGGCTGGAAAACTGGGACATAAACGTTCTACCCGATGTGCCAAATTTCTATTCATATAAAAGTCTTAAAGATAGTCTTAAATCTGCATTTACATCAGACGGCAAGAACTCTTTGTTCTGAACCGAACTTAACAGTGATTTTGTTACAGA